GATACAGTCAGTGCAGAACTGAGCAAACTCTTGCGGCCGCCACGGTCGCCGCCACTGCATTCTTCTGGCATTGAGAATAAGGTCATATGGAAATTAAAGTGGGCACAACATAACGTTTTGTTTTTTCAGAATTCAAACAGCACCACACATTCAGACAAATTATTCTTTAAAAAGGGTAGCTGCTTCCACACTAAGCTTACCCCTTATAATAAAACCGACAGTGGGGTAATTATACTGAAACAAATGAAACAAACAAGGAGGAAACCTTTAATGTTTAAATAAATAAATAAATAAATAAAGATAATTGGGGCGGGGAAACCCTTCTGGCTGAAGTGAACTTGTTTATGAGTTAGTATCAGTGGAGAATCTTGCCAATAGGGAAGGGTATTGTTGGATAACTTGGTGAACTTGTGTGGAGCTTGCTTTTAATTCTGCTTCCTGCTCACTGCAGAAAAACAATGTCTCAATAGCACTCAAGGGATCTAGCATGAAAGCAACCTTAAGGCAGAACTACATCAACTTTGGGGTTTCTGCTTTATCAGAAGTAGCTGTGGTTGTGATGGGTGTGGTTTGCAGAGAAGAAGCACTGAGTGGGAGAATACGGGCTTTATCTTTCCTCTCCCTGCTATTTTCTCCCACTTGACAAATCAGCAGCATCTGGAAACCCCAGAACCATCAGGGGAGGTAGAGGGCAAGAGTTGTAGGAGAGAAGCTCTGGATAAGGGGAGGATAAGCCCCTTCTTTTCTACTATGTGTACCATACGCATCCCATCTCCCTCCACCATGGTCTCCTGAAATGTATAATGGATCTTGGATATGTAATGGTCACCCAGAGAGCATGATGATAACAGAGGCTTTTAAATAAATAAAAATGCAGCTTCAGCTTTTGTGAGGAAACAGAACAAATCACGAGTGACAGAGTGACTCTAAACCTAACCTTTTCTGGTTCCTGACTCTAAGCTGAGCTGACCCAACTGGTCTAGAGACTCTGGGATACAAGCCGCCAAGCTCCCAGGACCTGAGCAACCAGAGTAAGCGAGCAGGGACATCAAGCAGGATTTGGGGGGGGGGGGGATCAAAGGGGAGGTCCCTAAATTTGTTCTTCTCCCTGCCCCACCCATTTTTCCTCCCTTTGTTTGCTTCCTTGTAACAAGCTCCCATTTACTGGTAGGTCGTTATTTGTTTTTCGGCGCCAGGCCAAGACCTTTTTATTTAAACAATATTTTAATAATGATATTATTTATTGGTTTTAACATCTTTTAGCGAGGATGAATCCAGATTTTATATGTTCTTGTGTGTTTCACTGTTTATTTATAATGTTGGAAGCCAGCCCGAGGCTTATGCAAATGGGACGGCATACAAAAATTCCAAATAAATAAATAAATAAGACTGTGTCGTTAGCCTTAGGGAAGACAGGAGAAAGCACAGGTTGTTACAACAGGCCCAACAAGCTAGAATCAAAAAGGTAGCAGAAAGAATTGACTGAGAAAACTCCTTAGTGGTGGTGTTAGCCACAATGGAGTTCTGCCTTGGCATGCCAGCTCAATCATACATAAGAAAAAAGTGAGAGAGAGAAAAAGACTTATTTTGCAAAATAAAGGTTCCCTTACATCTCATGGTCGCAGAGGGCTCTGCTCAAAATTTTCACATCATTTATATACCTTCCCACAAAAAGAATGTCAGAAGCTCTACTTTGGTTGGCTATAATTTTCTTCAGTACAGGTCTTCTTAATATACCTGCTCACAACTATTTCTACCAATTAAAATTTGCTGAAGCTCCTACCTTTATCAGTTAAAATGATGCTTGCTACTTGCAGTTTTTCATTACCTCAGCCTCCCTTATCACTATGCATATGTCCTGAATGCTTGAAGGCTATGGCTACCTAAGTCCATCCAGAAATCATCCTGTATCTTCTTCAGTGGTGACCTGCAATGTCTGCACTACATTTGTTTTCCTATCTGAGGTCAACAAGGCCTACATATGCAAGGTCAAACCTGTGAACTACAGACATCAATCCCTGGGAAAATTCTGGAGCAGATTATAAAGCAGCCAGTCTGCAAACACCTTGAAAACAACACAGTGATTACTGAAAGCCAGCATGGATTTCTTAAGAACAAATCCTGCCAGGCTAATTTGATTTCATTTTTTATTGATGGACTGTGAGGCTGCTATGGACATAATGTATCTTAATTTCTGAAAAACTTTTGACAAAGTGCTTCATGAGAGCCTGAGTAGCAAACTAGCTAAAAATGGGCTGGATGGAACAGCTATCAATTGGCTACAGAATTGGACTCAAAGAATTCTCATTAATGGCACTTTCTCAAACTGGGGAGAGGGAGCGAGTGAGATAATGCAGGGTTTGGATGTGAGCCCAGTGCTCTTCAACATTTTATTAATTATTTGGATGAGGAAGTACAGGGAACCATTATCAGATCTGCAGATGACACAGAACTGGGTGGGATGGCTAATACCCTGGAAGACAAAAACAAGATTCAAGGTTCACTACAATGGAATCAATGACCTAGGAAGGTTGTGATCTCTCCAACATTAGAGGCATTCAAGATGCGACTGGATGGCCATCTGAGAGGAATGGTTTAACATGGTATCCTGAACCAAGCACGGGATTGGACTTGATGACCCTCTGTCCTCTTCCAACTCTATTATTCCACGATCCATGATTATATGAAAGCAGGCTTTATTAAGCCTCTGGCTTGCAGTACAGGCACTGCAGGGTCTGTCTTCTGTTTTTCTGCTCTCTTTTGCCCTCCTGCCTAATGCTTTTGCATTCTGCGGCCCACTCCAAAATGAAGCTGTGCAGTTTGGGCTTTCCAGACCTATGATTACAATGTTGTCATTCAGCTGCTGGCCAAGGGGAGGGAGGCCAGGTCTTGAACTATGCCTGGGTAATGCTCTGTTTTGAAGGAGAGCCAATTTTGCAGGTCCTCATTTTTGCTGGGGCCTAGTGCCAAGAATCCCATTCAGTGTTGCAGTAGCTATTGAGAGTGCGCATTCCAGGGGTGGGTCGGGTGGAAGGCAAAGGAGGTGGGGTTAAATAAAAAAGGCAGTTGAGCCAAAATTGTTTTAAAAATTATAAGCCCTCCACTTTTTTTCCTGTCTTTCTTTTTTAGAATAAAGGTGAAAACTGCACAAAAATGCTTGAGGGGGAAAGCATAGAAACATAGAGACAAAGTGAGTCAGAAGGGAACTCCTGGGCTATCTAGTCTGACCCCTGCCTCCAACTGGCTCTACTCATGACATGCCTACCCTGTGCATGTCCAGCCTATCCTTGAACACCCTCACCGATGGGGCTTCAGCCACCTCCCGTGGAAGCCCATTCCACACCCTTGGGGTCCTAACTGTCAGGAAGTACTTCCTGGCATCCAAACTGAACCTTGAGCTTAGCCCTGTTGGAGCACATCCTGCCCTCCTCTGCAGGGGAGAACAGGTCTCTACCCACCTCCGTATGACACGCCCTCACATACCTATATGTCGCCAACAGATCCCCTTGGAGTCTCCTCTTCTCCAGGCTGAAAAGTAGAGTGGTGGTAGATGGCCGTACCTTGGCCCTTGCCTCTCCTGCAGTGACCCCCTGGCTGCAACTGGCCCTAGGCTAGAGATTCTGGACAGGTTGGTTCCCCAAGTCCTCATCATCCCCACCCTCCCCAAGCAGAGAAAACCTGTTTCCCAGCTCCAGGTCGGCTCCATGCCCATCTCCTCCTCCTGTGGGTGACATGCTTCCATGTCTCCCCATCTGTTTCTCCCTCTGCCTCTCCCTCAAGCTTCTGCCCAGAGGGGGGCTCCTCCCAGGTGGCCTGGAAAGCTATCTTGGCCTTCACATTCCTCACTTCCTCCTCTAGGAGGGACACCAACTTGCACCCTTCCTTTCTTGAGGGAGAAGGGCAAACATGTCACTGGTGTCCCAATGGTGGTGATTCCCACCATGGCCATCTCCTGGCCTGACACAGGGCACCCCATGCAGGCCCTACCTTGTTCCCCTGCCTTGTCTGTCTCCCACCTTGTCTTGTCTGTAATGAATTCTTAGCTCTCACACACAGATCTTTTCTAAATACTTAGTTCAGTTATAATGATAAAAAAGAATATTTTGCTAATAAGCTTTGCTCTACTTTGGCTAGCTATTTTGACACATAAATAGCAAAATAAATTTCTAAATGGCCTTTGCATCACCTATTTAAAGTTGTGATAATGAAAAAGCCAGGAAGTAAGAGGGCTTGTTGCCAATCCCTGAAGAATCATTCCCACATTGGGAGCAGAAAATTACAGGCCATCTTCTGCAGTGATATAATTTTGTGGTTGAATGTTCTTGTTTTGGATTGCAAGAGCAAAATTTTACCATCCTGTTTTTGCTGCAGTTGCTATAGGGCTGTTTTGTTTTGCTTTGCTTTGCTTTAAAATTACCCATTTCCCCCTTAAAGCCTCCTCCTGAGCTATATGCTTCCATTACTATCTCTTTCTGCAGCAGGCCCACTTCAGAGTTCCGTGGTTCCTGGCCACAGATATCACAAAAGCAATTGTGAACACATTTTATGGGCTTGATGAACAACAGATATCTTTGGTCATTTTCCAACATCTTCCAGGTCAAATGCAAGGTGCTGTTGCACTACCCTTTCAAGGCTTGGAGACCTTATCTTATATAGGCCAGTCTCAGTTTTGCTTAGAATTTATTCTGGGGACCTCCAGGCACTCTGGGAATAGGCCCCATCAAACTCAATGGACAGTGGATGTGCACAGGCTACCCACACTGAAATCCTTGCTGTGAGATTCAAAACTCCATGAGACAGGATTCAGGTAGGTACAAGCAGTTTATTTAATACAAAAAGCGTTTGCAAAGGCTGGCTCAGTGTCTCAGTCGCCTGAGGAACAAAGAGCAATCTTTTTCAGTATACAAGAGTTCTTTGTCGTGGCCTCTGTGCATCACACATATGGGTAGTGCGCCTGCGCAGTGCCTTTGGCCGTAAGATTGATAGCTAATGTTTGGCGGGAAAACTCTGCTCCCCTCCCCCCAACAGTATATATGGAGCGGAGTGTCCGCCATTTTCCAGCCTTCGCGACCGTCGTTTGTTGTGCCTCGTGCCGCTTCACTCTCGCTTAGATCGTTACTCGTTCCCTTTCGCTTTGTCGAGTTCTCTTTCTCTCTTCCAAGTTAGTATTCCCTCGTTCATATTACTCTCCAGTGTTCCAGTTAGTCTCTTAGTTTCTTCTTGTTGTTCCTATTAAAAAAACAAACAAACCAAAAATATTATCTGTTCCCTCTATACTATCTTCTTTTTTCTACTTCTGCGATGGCACAACGAGCGGTGTTCCACAAGTGCAGAGAGTGCAGCTCTAAGATGCCCGCTGCAGACCTGCATGACCTGTGCCTCCTCTGTTTAGGGGAAGGCCACAGGACAGACAAATGCGGCCACTGCCTGGCCTTCTCTAAGCAGGCGAGGAAGAATAGGGAGAACTGCCTGCGTAAACTCCTGTGGGACCAGGCTCTCCTACAATCGGACCAGCTGCTGGCTAAGCCTGCTACAACTTCGGCTGCACCTGATCGCCGTCCAACTTCAACTGATCTGCCACAATGTCTGGCCTCTTCCTCTACTGCTCCGCCCTCACGCCCTTTGGATGAAGGTGCTCCCATCATGGGCGATCAGCCTGTTTCCCCACCAAAGAAACAGTGGGAAAAGAGGAAACACAGCGGCCCTGAAAAGCCGTTTGTGCATAAGAAGGCCAAAAGAGATAAGGCCAAAAAGCCGGTTAAGAAACCAAAGAAACCCGAGCACTCTAAACATCGACACTCGGGTTTGGCAACTTCCTCGGTCCCGACTGCGGTCATGGTACCAACACCCTCGGGTTTGACCATTTAGGTGGCTGTGAGGGTTACTTCTCCGGGCTCCCCATGCTGTACGGGATCTGAACTTCACCAGGATCCACCTTGCGGTTCGATCTCCAACGGCGAAATACAAGATTCTCCGCCGAGGGCTAGGACTCCAACGCCTATGCCTCCTGTTCAGCTCAATACCAAGACTGGAATGTCTCCCCCGAGAAGTCACAGAAGTCGATCTTCCGATTCCCGATTCAACGACTGGTCCCACTCCTGGTATTCTTCCGCTCCAAGATGGGGTGACTACCAATCCATTGGCTACTACCTGGCAGCTAGAGATCGATCCTCTCCCCCAGCTCCTCAGGATCGTGTCCATTCCACAGCCCCGAGAGACGCCCCGCGGGCACCATCTAGGGAGAGCGGTAGATCGGTGTCGCCAGGAGATTCCTCCTCCAGCGTCCCGGCTCCATATTGGGTGGACTCAGATGAGTCCAAGGTCGATTCGACTTCACCCGATGCTGCAGTCACTTCCCAAGGTCCCACATCACCAGAAGAGCCACACATCTCTTTCGCAGAGCTGATGTCCAGGCTGGTTAGGTCGCTGGAAATCAAGGCCCACCAACAGCCTGGTCCCAGCACCGATTGCTTCTATGATATGGTATGGGGTGAACAATCGACCATTGTTTCCACTCCACTGTCTCCGGAACCGGTCCCTTCACCCGAGTATGATGTGTCCAGCCCTTCTCCCTAGTTTGGACTGCCGATTCTGTAGTCAAAAGTACTTGGTATGGCCCGCCCCAATGGGGCTGTAACTTCTCTTCTTTCCCCTCCTTTACCAGGATCCAATCCCTGGCTTTGAAAGGATGGACACAGAAATCCAATGGTGGGGTCTGCACCAACAATCCCTTGGACCTTAAATCAGAAAAACATCTGGACAATTCTTGAATGTATTTACGGGTTACTGTATCTTTCAGTTCCACCCTTGGCAAGCCCACTGTTCCCTGGCAAGGCATTCCAAGCAACATCTCATAGTGAGAGATCCCAATGTCCCTCCTAGGTTTAGTTCTTATTCTTAATAAGACTAGAGGCAGGCACTTAGTCCATGGCAATTTTAGTTCCAACATTAGTTTCTTTAATTGCTGCTTTAGAGTCTGACTCACCCCAGTTCCTTCATCCTTGCTACTTCAGCCTCATCATACTTAAGGCTTATAAAAGGAACTTCAACCAAGGGGATCAAGTTCTGTATTGATAGCAGAGCCTCAACTTCTTCAATAGAAGCCCTCTTTGCTTCCAAGTCTGCTCGTCTATTTCATCTCATTTCTTCACCATTCCCAGACTGATCTCCCTTCACATGAATAATTGCCAATTGTTTAGGCAGAGCCAATTTTTACAGTACTTGCACCAACATCTCATGCACCAAAACTTTTCCTCTACTCATGATCAAACTCCTTTCCTGCCAAATTTTCCCAAAGGCATGAGCTAGCCCAAATACATCCCCATGCCACATCAGTTTTTAGAGATTGATCTACAAGAGCCTTAGCTCCCCAAAGGCTACTTTCATGGAGTCTCTGGATAACTTGCCTAGCTAGTCCCTTAGCCATTCTTAGCCATCAGACATTACCCATCTTCCAGAGTCTAGATTCTTCTCAGTTCCCAGTCCCTTCCTACAATTTCAGGGCTCACTTCTGAGCCCATAACTCACAAATTTGGGCTGACCAGGAGGAGAACAGTCTCCCACTATCCCTCACCTGGTTCCCTTTTATTACTTTGTATCCATGGTGCCTTTCCCCTTACTTTAGTTTCTAGATCCACTAATTCCACACAATCATGCTCTTACTCCAAGTCGCAACTGCCTCCTATCAAGAAATCTACAGGATTCACACCTCCTCCAGTAGTCAAAACCAAATCTAGTTGATTCATCAATACAGCCTCATACTTAATAAGTCAGGAGTCAGTTAACCACCTTCCAGCCCTGGTGGGTAACAGAGCTTGCACTGAGTGTGCCACTGTTACCACCAAAGCTTCCCCAATAGCTAATTTCCTGGCTTTGTCCACCAATAGGGCTGCGGCTGCACAGGCTGTTTCCCCCATCCCTTTAATGCTAGCCCTCTTGGACTCCCCTTCCTCAGTAAATACTGCAGTAGCAAATAAAAAAAATGCTCCTGTTCACCATAGCCTCACAAACTTTCCTTTAGCTCTCTTCTCCATGGGGCACCTGGCCAGACTGTCCCTTGACCACCCCGTGAGACTATTACCGAACCGATCACACAGCAGTTCGCTTTACTCACCTGGGTCTGTGCACAGAGTTGCCTGGTCAATAAATTCTCCACAGCCAGTTTCTAACCGCTGTTTCTGAATTGTATCCTCCTGGATCCTTGTCTTTCAGTTCGTTCTGCTCGGGCAGGCGACGACAGACTCACCACCGACCGCCGAACTCGACGGGGCGCCTCCGGATCGTTCCTCCTCGTCTCCTCCAGTTGATGCCTCGAGCCCCACACTGGGCGCCAATTGTGAGATTCAGAACTCCGTGAGACAGGATTCAGGTAGGTACAAGCAGTTTATTTAATACAAAAAGAGTTCGCAAAGGCTGGCTCAGTGCCTCAGGCACCTGAGGAACAAAGAGCAATCTTTTTCAGTATACAAGAGTCTTTACACATCCCCTTTTCCCCCCCGCTGCTCAACTACTCTCGTTTCGCCATTGGCTGGCTACTCGCGAGGGTACAATCTTCCGGGGCGCCTTATATGGTAAAACCCTGGTGGCCACATTTTAATGGTGTTTTTCCCTGTTATCAGTGGTTTAAGGGTCTTGCAAAAGTTGCTGACTCATTCCTTATGTTCCCATGAGAGATTCTGTGTACCTGCTTGTTCCTCCCCTTATTTCATGGGACAGATTACATTCTATTGCAAGTTTCACTCAGTTTACATTTTATCTTTCTTTAAAAAGATACTGTCCCTGCTTCTCACGTTGCTATGTGGTATTTTGTGCGTCCTGGCGCCGGAAACCCGGTAGGAGTGTTTAAAAACCACTGTATTACCAAATAAACAGACCACCAGCGGACACTAAAGTCTTTTCCGCTCCCACTTCCCTTTTTTTGGGAAATTGGTCGTTCTGTTTTCTGACAAGTCTATTCGCTGTCTATCCCGTTTGTTCTTCACGCCGGCTGTTGTTGGCAAAGGAGTGTGTACAAATATGAAAAAGCATGTTTTTTCTGTTCTTTATTTGCGTGAGCCCCGCCTGGACCGCGGGAGCAAGGGAGGTGACCGCGGCGAAGCGGCGGCAGCCAGTAATGGCCGAGGGGCGTCCGCCTCCCCGCCGGCGCGCCCGCTCTTTCCGTCCGCCTCCCCCGCCTCCTCTCTGTCCCCCGGGAGCCGCGCTTCGCTTGCGCCTCTTCCTGCACTCGCGCGTTGCTGGTTTCGGCAGCGATGGACGGGGATCCGAGCAGCAAAGAGGCCGACGATGCCGACGGTAAAGGCGCGTGGCCGCGGCCCGGGCGGGCTGGTGTCGCGGGGGAATCGGCCGTGCGGGGTGCGCAGCTGGAGCGGCGGCTCTGCCCGGAGCCCTGCGCCCGCTCTGCTGCTCGGCGGCGGATGCTGGTCCTGCTTGCCTAGGAGCCTCGCGGGGAGAAAGCCCGCCCTGGCGGGTGCGGCGACCGGGCGGGGTGGATCAGCACCGGCTCCGTCTCCGCTCGCAAAGGCTGGCCGCTTCCCTCAGGTCGGTTGGGTCTCTCCTTTCTCAGCCTTGGGATTGGCAGGAACACGCGGGCCTCCCGCTAGACAGGCTCCGTTGAGGAGGTCCGCGCTGTTAACATGCGTGGCCGACATGCGAAGCTCTAGAAGGACGTTTGCTGGTTTTCAGCCCCTGGGCACTCATCCAGGGGAGGTACCGGCCCTCTGGCTCGGATTCTCTCTCTCCCCTGCACTCGTGTCTCCCAGATCGGTTGGGTCTTCTAGCACTCCTGAACGTTGGCTGTGCTGACTGAGGCTGATACGTTGCAACGGGTGACGCCTAGACGTCTGAAGACTGTGGAAGGCTAACAGACAGCACATTTCCAATTTGTAGCCTCATGTACCTGCACAGGTGGTATAGCTGTGATGCTGAGGAGGAACACACTCTCACTGCCACTCTCCAGCCCCATGTGAGGAAGGGGAGTGTTAACATTCTGTTTTTGCGGTGGAGAGTCAGTTGTGTCATTAGGCAAAGAGAGGCAGGCAGATCAGGTGGTGGATGCTGGGAGGCTGCAACAAGTTGTGGGAGGAGACAGCTACCTGTTACCTTCCCTTAATCTGCACTGAAAATGAATTCAATTGCCAGCTCATTCAGTTTTTCAGCATGGTCTGAGAGTGGGCACCATCTTGTTTGTTGCCTTGCGCAGGAAAATGTCTTGGGCGGACCTTGACTCTAATCTGCTGAAACCTTTGCCTTCGGTACGACAAGACTCTTTGTCATTTTTGCTGCTACAGGCTAATGGGTGATCCCTTGCTGGAGAAAAGATGTTTTTGCGAAGCTTTAAACAGGGAACTGGCAGGAGGGAAGAGTTAATGAAAGCAACAGTTGTCTGGCTGAGGTAGTTTCCTGGTGAATGTGCCTTGTGAAATTTTCTAATGGAAAGGAGGAGGGATATTCCCCTGCCCAGCTTGAAGCCATTCTCAAATAACACCGGTCCTCTATCAGCTACACTGGCTCCCAATTTAAGTCTGGGGCCAATTCAAGGTGGTGGTATTAACCTATAAAGCCCTAAATGGCTTGGGGCCAGAATATGTGAAGGATCGCCTCCTTTCCTATATGCCCTCACACCCCTTAAGATTGGCAGGAGAGGCCTTGCTCCGGGAAGCTTCTTTGAAGGAGGTATGGAGGGTGTCTACCCAGAGGAGGACCTTCTCTGCAGTGGCTCCCAGACTATGGAATGTGCTTCCCAGAGAGGTTCACCTGGCACCAACTTTACACTCTTTTCAGTGCCAGGTGAAGACCTTTTTATTCAGCCATCATTTTAATAATTAAAGTTTTTAGATGTTTTAAGATCTTTTTTCCACAGTCACATTTTTTATTCTTCTTTTCTTTTCTTTCCCTTAGCTTTATGAAGTGTTGTTTTATGTTGATTTAATATCTACCATTTTAATTATTGTATTATTGTAATATTTTATTTTAAATCATTGTAAGCCGTCCTGAGCCGTTCATCAGAAAGGACAGGATATAAATGTTTTAAATAAACAAATAAATAAAATAAGTTTATCCCAAGTAACAGTAACAGGAAACTTGTTCTCTGTAAGCTCCATTGAATTAGCTCAGTGCTTCCCAGCCTGTGACCAGGTTGCACTACAACTCCAATCATCCCTTGCTAGCATGGGAGTTGAGTGCCAAGTCATCTGGAAGGTAACATGTGGGGAAAGTTGAACTGGGTCGCTGTAAATGGGATGATGGAAGGCATGCTTCAAGATGGCAGTTATTAACATAGCCACTGTTTTATTAGGAATTTCCTTTGCCAAATCCAGCTTTTTGCAGGGGGTGGGATGCAGTTTGGCTTCCAAGTTGCTGATTTGGAAGGAAAGATGTGACAGAACTCGTGTAATAGCAACAGAAGGTGCTTGGCAGGTCAGTTTGTGGGATGTGGGATTGACGTACTGAAAGCTTTTCCATAGCTCTCCATGCAGCCATTCTAGATTACTGAAGGCCCAGTATTGGTATTGGACAGTGACTGATGGCAGTATCCAAGTTACTGCTTTCAGAGCAGTGTATCAGTGTTGTCTGTGTGTGTGTGACTGAGGTAGGAATTTGCCATGTAGATGTATCCACTATGAAGAGACTGAAGTGGCAACTTTCTTTAAATCCTTCTTCTGATCCTTTTCTAGTGCAGGAAAAAGCAGTAAAATCTTGTGGTTGACCTCTGAGTAATTTGTAGTATATCAACAAGGGCTTTGATTCGCAAATGAACATCAGTGACAACAAAAAGCCTTTCTTTAATCTAAATTAAGATGCTGAAATCAAGAAACAGGTGGGGGAAGAATGGATTTATATGTGGAAGCGTTTATGTACAAGCTGCAGTTCTGGTCCCAAAAACAAATTCCTGGGCTGAGTGTGTGAAGGCACCTTGGTTCATAATTGGATGCCTTCCTTAGCCAATATCTGGCACCTGGCTTTAGTTGGTAGACTTTTGGGGCTCTAGTGAAAAAACAGAGTAGCTTTCATAAGCCTAAATTCTGCTGGCCCCTGTTCTAGAGATTAACTTTCTTTTCTGAACTGTGCTTGCCTCTTTATCTCACACAGGATGTGCTGTTTTCCTCCCACACACGCCATAACATTTGATCATGATGTTGTCATTCTTTCCGTTTCTCAAGACAAAAGCTTGATTGGCAGATCAGACCCACACCCATGTCTTCCTTTATAGTGAGAGGCCAAAAGTCACAACCATAACTGACCTTGTGAGGAGGTCCCAGAGAGAGCAGATGACTGGTCTGCTGGCTCCTGGGCTTTTCCCAGTCAGTCCAATGCCTGTTTTGAGACTAAGCATTCCAGAGTGCATTCTGAGAAGTTCTGCAGCAGAAGAGTATTAGAACTTTGCTTTATTAGTTGTTCTGTATCATTTCTCTTTATGCATTTCCCACAATACAGGTTTCCATCTTTCAGGATTGGAGCTGTTCTTGGGACTGAGTTCACCAGAGTGGCTTAAATGTGTAGCTGTACATAGAGGCACAGCTGAATTTGTTTTAGTATTTATTAATTACATTTGTATATCAGCTAATAGCAGAAGTTGCCAAGGCAGTTCACAGCAATTAAAGCCCAACAATACAGCATAGGATACAATATAAAAGTTTAAAACTACAGTAAAAGTAGAAGTAAAAACCAAAGTTAAGCCTAGCAAAATAAAGTCTACATATGCAATTAGGCTTGCACACAACCAGATTAAAATAGCTCCAAAGGGAGAGGGAGGAGGTAAGGTGGGATAATGGGAAAATTTCTGAGTTTTTCATAGTAAAATATATGAAAGAGGTTGTATGAGGGACAAATACCTGTTTAATTGCATAGTACCATGATCTTCATTATTTTTCAAGCAGGAACCACTCTGGCACCAGGCACTAACCACTGAGGACATTTGAGGGCCTTGCCAGGTCAGGCCACAAGCTCTCTTCTTCCCCTTCCAGTCAAGTGATGATGATGTACACAAGACATGGCTGGAGGCTTCTGGGGACTTTTCCTCCCTACTCCCCTCCCTGTTGCCCTAGGAAAGCCGTATGAACACGTCCTTAAGACAGCCACATTTTTAGTCTCACTTGGTCTTTGGATTGGGATAAATCTCCTTCTTGGCACTGACAGAGTGCTTTGTTCTGCTCAGGGCTGCAGTATCTCCAGCACTGCTCCCTGTTGTGCTCTGTCATGCATTCAACTTCCCTTCCATCTCCAGCTCAGTGCAGCGCTGCAGTTAACCAATTCCATTGCTCTTCGACTTCTGGCTTCCTTGTCTATCACATCTGATTGGCCGATTGTTCCTTCATCCCCTCCTCATTGTCATCTTATGGCTGACGAGCATCAGTGCTTTTAACTTACCACTCCCACGCTTCCTCCAGTACCCCAGACCATAGTGGTTGATCCATTAGTAAAGCAAACAGCAAAGGGAAACTAGCGAGTCACTGTTGAGATCGAGCACCTGCTGTAAAGATAAGGAGGTAAATAGCCACACTTGAGGTGAATTGGAGCCACCAGTGGCTCTTGAGCATTGGAGTGAGCTAATCATGCTTCGTGTGAAACCTGCCCCTGCCCTGCCCTGCCCTAGTCCCTGGGGGTACACCACTCTCTTCTCCGACACGTGCTGCCACCTCCCAGCATCAGCTTCCTGAGGCAACTGCCTCGCTCTGCCTCATGGTAGGGCTGACTCTGCTAGGGAGCCAGTCAGGGCTCACTATTTTACAGAGGAAAGGAAAGATGGTGAGGAGCTGCTGTCATTCTGTTGTGCAGAGGAGGGTGGACCATTTAGAAGACCTGTGCTCGTGGGAAAGTCAGAGCTAGCAGGGAACCAGGGACTGAGATGGAAAAGCCCTGTTTGCTTTAGGTTTGTTATCTATGAATCATCAGCTAACTCTACTCTTTACA